CCAGTGTAACTGTTTGGGCTGTCTTGGCTGATCCAAATCACTGTGAAGGTGTTATACTGCCATCTGGTGGTGGTGAGCTGACATAAAAAGTTAATACTGGTTTGAACAAAATGAAATGAGGGATAAACATTTGAAGTTTGGACACAGTATTATCTCTGATCAACAAACTAATTGTTGTTTAAGTATTTAAAAGCGAGGGAACGTGGACATTGATGGGCATTAATAATCCCTGTAACTAAGCCAGATTTATCCATGTTGGTCATTTTTATCCATAGCCTACGGCAGATATATGTTGAGGAAAAACAAAAATACATAAAAACTACACTCTAACAAATGCATGCGACTAAGATAAAATATACATGTAAAACTAAGCAAAATTAAAAAARGATGATGTAAAACTACTTTAGGCTTTATTGTTATTATTTTGGAGAAAAGCAAAGTCACGTGATCAGTCAGCTGACTCGCGTTGCTTCTCATGTGAACAGCAACAACGGGACCAGTCGGGTCAGAGCGGAAGTTGCGCTGCAAAACAACAAGCAGGTGAGTAATTTCCTCTCCTGAAGCGTTAAAACACCTCGTAGGTCTTGCAGAACTTCCCTTTAACACCTATATATTTTTGTTTTCTTGACACCTATATTATATATATTATTGTTTTCTTGACACCTGTATATATATTTGTTTTCTTGCTTGGTTTCTCTTCTGTCTTTTGCAGTCGCGGACAGCAGACAGTTCTCTGAGGAAACCTGCCGTCGAGACACGATGACCCCCAAATTGTGGCCCACTTTGGGGTTGATGACCTGCACTTTGTTCCTGGTGTTGCCGCTGTTCGGATCGTGTGAACCGGGCCAGCCGTCGGCCCGGACCCGAACCGTGTTCGTGGAGCAGATCGATCGTTTTGGACTCGGTTTCAACTGGAAGAATCTGTCCTGCCCTGTGTGCAAAGTTCTCTTCACCATTCTTGATATCGCCCTCCTGGTAACGTTAAAACACTTGAGTGTCTTGTGCTAGTGGGACGTTTAGTTTCAGAGTAATTATTTAATTTCAGGAAAATCCACATTGCTGAGTGATACAGAGTTGTTTTAGAGTTGTCCAACTCATTTTTAAAGGTCTAAAAATGTGTAAACAAATGTCTAACACGTGAGAAAGCCTGAGTGACAGCTCAGAAACAAACAGTGTAAGGTCAGATTGGTCAATTTAGTCAACTTTTCAATTCAAATTCAGTTCAAAAATACTTTATTGATCCCAGAGGGAAATTAGGTTTTAGATTAGGTTTTTTTTTAAATGCTCTGAAAGTTGCTACCTCTGTTTCTACACTTGTGCCCCTTTTGTAACGACAGCACAGTAGAGCGAAATTAAAAACAAATCATACATTTTAGTTTGCTTGTCTTTACTGTTGCTTTCAGTCGACTTCTCTTTCCGTAGGAACAAGGCACTTCTCCATATTTGTTACAGGGTTATTGCAGTTTATCAGTAAATGTGAGATACTGTTTCCTCCCCCAGCTAAAAAAAAAGGCCCATTGTTTGTAGATCAGAAGTACTTTCGACATATAATCAGGGTGAACTGTCAAGTGATGTGAAACTTTGGGTACATTTGCTCAATTATTGACATCATTTGGTGCAATGCATTTTCTTGTCTGATCCTTTTTCTGCCTTTTTTTTTTACATCAGAATGATGCAAATGAAGAGCGAGTGGCGTACGCGGTGAGCGAGGCGTGCATCCGTCTCCATCTGGCCGACGAGACGGTGTGTCGGAAAATCATCGAGCTCTTCAGGGACGACTTCATCAGGGTCCTGCAGGAGTCCCTGCTGTGGCCCAGTGAAGCGTGCGCGTTGCTGGTGGGCCCCTCCTGCGGCAAGTTTGACATTTACGCGCCGTGGAACATCACTTTGCCAAATGTTCCCAAACCCCCCGTTACGCCACCCTCTCCTCCTAAACCTGGGTCTCCACAGAGCAGAGTCCTTTTTCTCACAGACATCCACTGGGACAAGGTGAGCGTGTGCTGCTGAGAAAAGACAAAGCACAACTGCTGGTACATGGTTTAAAATGAGCAAATCTGGTTTTATATACTTGTAATATACTTGTTTTTGTAGTGCTGCGGGCTTAGCGTCATAGTTTCATGTTTATAGTAAACAACTTGCATACAAAGACACGGAGTTCAGCCTGTAAATCTATGCACTAWACAAACACGAGCTTAAAGTTACTGATTTACTCAGTGGAATTGTAGCAACAAACTTGTTTTGACTAACAGGTCCCCAGGGTCTTTGTACTTTTTGGTCATTTGTTTTTTTCTATTTTAAAAACAGATATTAAAAAAACATTCTATTTTCATTTTATACTGCAAAAAAACCTTGTTTTATTTTTCTCAAACTGGACGTTAACACCGTCCTTAGCTGACCATTTAAGGTGGAGCTAGTTAAATAACTTTTTAATAATTGGCTKCTGCCTGTAAATAAATAAACGCTAGCTAACTACTTCAGCATTTCTTTAAATAACTGTAGGCTGTGTAGGATGATACGCTTATAGAAATATAAGGGTTCCCACACCTCTCATAACAAGGTTATGAGGAAATTATTTACCAAGGAATTTCTTATTTTTCGTCAATATCTTGTAGGGCTGCAACGATTAATCGATGACTAATCGATTATTAAAATAATCGATAACTAATTTAATAATCGATTGATCATTTTCTTTTTTTTTGTTCTTTACTTTGTTCTTCTCTCCAAACTGCTTTGACACCTTCCACTGCCACATCTGCCTTTCTGTCCTTGACACACATGCGCAGTAGTGGTAACTGGGGTAGGCCATGGACGTCACAAGACATTATACAGACAGGCTCTGGTATCATGGCTACCTGACAACAGAGCTCAAAATGTGGGATCATTTTAAGAAAATGAAAGAGAAACCTGTGCAATATCTGCAGAGCAGAACGTGCCTTCTACAGCAATTATTTTTAGTTAGCACATAGCTAAAATCTAACCATGGTTATATAATAGCAGCTGCATTCTGGCACGATAAGCCCTATGTTTTATATTCAATTAACATATGATCCGATTAGTTGACTAATCGAAAAAAATAATCGGTGATAATTGATTATAAAAATAATCGTTTGAGGCAGCCCTAATATCTTGGCTGTGCAAAGTGAATCAAAACACACAATGAGTGAGCCAACCCGATGCTTTCAATTGGATCCATAAACAATATGCGATCGTTTTTTTTTTACATAAATTAAACAAATCATGAGTTAACAACGTAATTGTGGGTAATCAGCTTCCTATAACAAGTTTAGAATCAACAAAGATATGAATTCGCGTCCGAAGTCAATCAATATCAACTCAAWACTTAGAATAGAACAGTAAAACTTCAGTTCTGCTGTTAAATAAACCAAACATTTACTGGCACATTAARCTTAGATTCTGGCAAGGCAAATTGTAACGAAAGGAGGAAAAGTAAGATCAGTATTTCTACTTGTSTTCACAGTAAAAATAAAAACAGTGATTTGCATAAAAATACAATTCTCTGTGATTCGTTTTAAACCATAATAAATCTTTGAGGCACAATAAGAGAACAGAAGTTGTTCTACTTTTTTCATGTGACAGGCATTATCTTTGATTTAACAAATGCATAAACATTCTTAGTTAAATGAYAAATGAATCACGAACAATGGAGATTATTCTKTCCRTTATCTGATTAAGAGGAAGAGTGGTTCTCTTCCACGGTTAGAATGACCTGTCTTTGGCATAAATAGAGCTCAGAGCGGAACAGAGTTTCTGTCTTCTTTCCAGGCCTGCTTTAGAGGCAGAAAACCTTGTTTTCTCACCCCTACAGCTGAGTTTTTTTATTAATATAGCTAATTTATATTAAAAATATATATACCGGTACTTTAAATAGTCTAACAGGATGAATAAACAGATTTTAGTTTGACATTTCTTTAGTGTCAGCTGATGTTTTGTTTATTACTGACTGCTTTAGGCCTAAGCCTTTCTCCAAGAGGTTCATAGTGAGGAACTTGAAGCTGCAGCAGGTTCCACWGGACAGTGTTGAGTTTCCTTGATAACAGTGTTAAACTTCTGGTTTGAGAAAATAAAAAGATGAACCATTTTTCCTGTTTTTAGAACCTAAAAATAAAATAATCATCTGTTTTTAAAAGGAAAAAACGAACGACCAAAACGTTCACGGACCGAGCGGCTCTGGTTCTGACTGTTTTGGAAGGAATTCTACATTTTTTGTAAAGACGTCTCTGTCGACAGGAGTATCAGTCCGGCAGCGCCGCCGACTGCAAGGAACCTCTGTGCTGTCGCAACAACTCGGGCGTCTCCAGATGGAGGCGAAGGAAAGCTGGATACTGGGGAACCTACAGCAAGTGTGACCTTCCTCTGCGCACCGTGGAGAACCTTCTAGAAAACGTCGCCAGAGCTGGACCTTGGGACTGGGTCTACTGGACCGGAGACATCCCAGCGCACAATGTTTGGTCTCAAACCAGGACAGAGCAGCTAACAGAGCTTACGGTCATCTCCAGGCTCATCCACAAGTAATGCTTAACTTATCCACTACACTTGGATTAAACTGATTGTAGCTTTCATCTGATACTCATCCTTTTTAATGTAGAATTAATCCAGAGACTGTTATTGAGTCTTACTTTTTTTCCCTACCTAGACACCTTGGACCCAATGTGACTGTTTTCCCTGCAATAGGAAACCATGAAAGTACACCAGTGAACAGCTTCCCGCCACCTTTTGTTCATGGCAACAAGTCGTCTTCCTGGCTTTATGAGAAAATGGCAGAGGARTGGTCACCCTGGTTATCGGAGCAGGCTTTAAAGACTTTGAGGTTTATCAAATTACTTTTATCATTATTCTTTCCATATTTATCATGAAATTAAGGTAATTTAGGACATCTTCTGGCTGGGGACTCCTCCCCCTTGCAAACCCACAAACCCGGTGTGATGTAGCGTAGCTGTGGGGAAAGAAATCGTGTTTGACCAGAGATTGAACAAACATTTCTCTGGWCCTAACAGCTTTTTCTTTAATCTAGACAGACCTACTAGCCAATCAGAAGTCGTTTGGGGGCKGGACTTGGATCTCAGCAAAAACTTTGATTCATTCTGTGTTCCTTTTACATCGTATTCCCGGAGCTGGTAAATGGTAGTGATGTCATTTCCCAACAAACCATATGAAACTGCATTCCAGTTATCCGAAGGGCAAATGCATTGTTGCCGCTAACCTAGCTACAACACTGCTACAATATAAACAATGACAAAAAGAGAGCTCTACTATGTATTTCATCCAAGTAAACATTGATTTTAACACGTACAGTATTGCAAAGAAAACACTACTTGTGCGAGTGATTAAATATGCACAAAAAATTAAGAAAGATAATTAACAGTATAAGTTACGGAGTTAACTTTCTAAAGCTGCGAGTAGCCGCCATCTTGAAATCGAAACTGAGGGCAGTTTCATTTCTTCCACTAAATCAGTGGAATATTACCACTGGAGGGGGCGTTACCACTTCTCAGGACTACTGGAACGCAGCATTAGTATCAGCAGATTTGATAGGTGCTGAAAATAAAATAATGTTTGTTAGAGCACTTTTGAAAAAGGACTGGAGACAATATCAAAGCTGGCAGGCTTTTAAAACATCTGTTAGAGAGGACGAACCAGTAAAAGGATGTTCACCGATTCTTCCACCACCTGAGAGAGACGAGGCGCAGCTGCACAGGTGGATGCTAAAATTAGCTGGGCGGGAGCTGACGGGAGGAGCAGGGGAGAAGGGAGGTGCAGGCAAGGGGAGACAAGCGTAATGCCTTTTTTTTAACAGTGACCCAGGCAACGGCAACCAACAGGTGCGTGTGTACTGGGAGAAAACGAGACAGGTGATGTGCAAAAATTTGATTGGCCGCCGTGGGAGCACAGCCTGACTCGGTATAATTGGTTGTTTATGTTGCTTTAGTTCTTGGAATTAATCAATATTAGCAATAAAAAAAAACATGATCTTTCCTCCAGCTTTCTGAGGCCCCCCCGTCGCTCCCTGGTGACCCCCACTCATATGGAAAAGTTCTTGGTTGGTTGCACAGTTCAAGTTAAGTTTGTGGAACGGTCTGGAAGATGAGGTTAAAAATGCCAGATCTTTGTATATATTAAAGAGAATGATAAAATCTAGTATTCTGAAGAAATACGGAGAAGCATAAGTGAATTCATGAAAATTGTTGTTTTGAGTTGGTTTTTTAAATTTTGAACATATTTTGGGTTTTAAAAAGGGGCAGATACAGTATTATAAGATTTATTCTTCTTCTGCTGCCTTTCATTTTATTTGATTTTATTTTGATTGCGGTTTTTTTTTTTGTTATTTGCTGTGTAWATAATTGTTATAAATAAAATGAATAAATTTCGAAAAAAAAAAAAGTTCAATGGACACGCCAGAACCAGCACTCACTTAGAGAGTACCGTGATCTTCTGAGCTCAGAACTGAGTGATACTGAAACTCTTAACATGGTCATTTTTGTTTCCAAGTTTCTGACGTCATCGTTCAGGTCAGACCGTTGTGTGGGTAACAAGTTATGAGAAAATTGTCAAACAGTGGGTTTTGTCTTCGCGGCAGAGCAGCGACGTTTGCTGCAGTTTTGCTTTGAAGTTCACGTCTGACCACGGTGGGAACAACTGAAGTGGTGACACTTCTCAGAATATTGCACCTTACACGGAAGGCTTGAAGCGTTAATGGCTGACTCTGTTTCAGAGCCTTTTTTTGTGTGTGTGTGTGTGGTGGTTTTAGATATGCCGGATTCTACACGATGGTGATTCAGCCTGGTCTGAGGGTGGTCTCTCTCAACATGAACTTCTGTGCTCGGGAAAACTTCTGGCTGATGGTGAACTCAACTGACCCGGCTAACCAGCTGCAGTGGCTGGTCCATGTTCTCCAGACCAGTGAGGATAAAGGAGAGAAGGTCAGTTTAAAAGCTCAGGTTTTGCCACAGTCATGTGCTTCTCCTTGTTAGATGTGGATAATGGCTTTGTGGCTTTCACTTCAGTCGCATTTGCAATAAAGTTGGTTTTATTAGAGCTATAATCTACTTTATTGTGGTGTCATTAGTTTTTATTTGTTTTTTAGGTACATATTATTGGTCACATCCCACCTGGTTTGTGTCTCGGCAGCTGGAGTTGGAACTACTATCACATTGTCAACAGGTACCTGCAGTGGTCATTTAGGTTAAAAGTTTATGTCAAAATGCTTCCTGTGTATGTAAATAAGCATTTTAAATTACATGGTTGACTTATTCCTCTGTTTTCACTTCCTTATGTTTTGTGTCTGAATTGGAAAAGCTTACAAAATAAGACTTTGTTGTATTTCCAGGTATGAAAGTACAATTGCTGGGCAGTTTTTTGGACATACGCACCTGGATGAATTTCAGATGTTTTACGATGAGGAAACCATGACTCGGCCATTAGGAGTGGCCTTCATTGCCCCAAGTGTCACCACTTTTGTTAATCTTAACCCAGGTGAGTCCATAAACCATCTCCATGATCTCCTGTTAACTTGTATATTTATTATACCTACTGTMTAACTATAATACAACTTTTCAGGCTACCGTGTTTACTACCTTGATGGGAATTACCAAGGCAGCTCTCGGCTAGTGCTCGACCACGAAACCTATGTGCTCAACCTCACAGAGGCCAACCACAGTCCAGGGTTCCCAGGAAGTCCAGAAAAGAACCCCAAATGGACGTTGCTGTACCGTGCCACCGAGACCTACGGTCTTTCCACTCTGTTCCCCTCGGATYACGACRAGCTGTTGCGAACCTTTCTGAGCAACGATCRCGTGTTCCAGAAGTTCTGGTACCTCAGACACAAAGGACACGAGTCKGGGCCTTGCATAGAGTCGTGCAAAACCGAGGTGCTGTGCTTTCTGCGAAGTGGACGTTACGATGAGCTGCAGCAGTGCGACCRCCTCAACGGGTTTGGAGGAAGCCTGGTCCGGGCGGCTTTAAAAACTCTTTGTTGAATTACGTTAAGTTTGGACCGGYGGGCTGTTTGGGAGGGAGGGCGGTAAGATTACCAAAAATGAGCCACGAGACATTTTATTGCTGCAAGTTCATCAAGAATTGCACATAAGTAACCAAAACTGTTACAGGTAATGTAGATTTTGGAAATCCAGTCCAAGATGTTTTAAGTTCTGCTTTAGTCAGTATTTTTTCAGCCGGTAATATTTAGAAACAGGCTTTGAGGTTGGCCGTCTGCAATGCCAATTATGTAACGACAGCAAGTTCTCAAGCCTCGGCTGTTTACTTGAAATGCACAGAATGGTAGGCATTACTGTAGGTGGGTTTCAAGGCCATCAGGATTTTAGCTGGTAGGACTTCAATGAGTGCCTTTTCTCAGGGATTGGGTAAACATGTCAAACATTAACCACAATCTTTGTACTTTAAAGATGCTTTTAATTGCTTTTCTTAAGAATTGTACTTTTCCTCAAATCTTTTCTTGTAAATTGTAACAATGAAAGGTTTGCAACGAAACTGAGGAAAGAATATTGTAGCGGTGTCAGGGTTTAAGGTTTTAAAGATAGTGATTTCAAGTAGGCCAGTTTATAAAATAAATTTGAAAGCATGTTTTTTGTTCCCCCCCAGATTTCTGTACGCACTTTTGTGGAGAAATGCTTTATCACTCAGACGCCTAACATGTTCTTTTTCTGTTTGTCTGTTTGCACTTTAATTTTGTTTTTGATTAAAAAGAGTACCGTAAGTCTAATTATGTAATTAGTCAGTATAGAAAGGTTTTCCAATTTGTAATGTAACATGCTATAAACAAGCCATAATTTAAGAAATTGTGTGACTTATGAAATAAAAAGATAAATTTTTTCAAGGTTTTTGTTTTGATGGTAAAGCAMGTTAGCTTGGTTAGTTTTTATTTTTTGTTTTCTAGTAACAGCAATCACTAAATGCATTTCTAAATTTATAACAAGAATTTCATTCACTGGAGAACATTAAAGGGTGGTTTAATAGGAAGTTTTCCAACATTTCTTATACATTTCATGTGTCAAGTGCCAAAAAGAAATTCTCCAGTAAACAGCATCTTAGAGGTGGATCCTGCTGCACTAAAGATCATAACTTTTAGGTATAAAGGTGCATGCAGTTTGTCTTGTTTTTGTTCTTCTWAAACGTGCTTTTATTCAGAATCTGAGAAGAACATGGTGACACCAAAATCCTCTTTGTACAGGTTCCAAGTTTTGGGTTTGTGTGGGTTGTCCAGCTCCTCCCTGGGCAAGAACAGCCTGAGGARGGCACAAAGGAGGAAAATAAGTCAAAAGTGTTTCAAGACCAACGTAAGTATTTGGATTTTTAGATCAAAAGARAAACACACTTATTATTTTCTATGAATGATGTATTGAACCAGAAGTAGAAAGGAACATCTTCATATCCTTTTGGAAGACCCTGATGAGAAATAAATAAATAAAATGAGTAAACAAGATTTTACAATATAGTCTAGTTAAAAATATAAAAGGCAACTTACAGCACTTGATTCGAACATAACCTTCACATCTCCCTGAACCGTGGGGCCGTTGTGCAGGCTGATAACAGCTGCATTGTTGCCAGCATCAGGAAATACCTTTAAAAAATAAGTAAAAATCCAACTGAAAACAGGTTACCTGCTTAATAAACTTGTTTTATTGTATAATGAATGCGAGACTCACAGAGCAGTTCTCCTGTTTGGCGCACACGCACTGAAACACCAGCTCCTTCTTTACAATTATTTTCACCTTCAGATCACTGCCATCACCTTTCCCCACACCTGGGGGGGCACAAATCAATGCACAGACTGGGGCTTTCTGCTGGTGTAGCTGTGATCAGAGGGGTCTGCTGGGTTACCTGCTATAGAGTGGATGCGGATGCTTTTGCACCTGAGGCTTTTAGGYGGAGGCAGCTGTCGGTTGTACTGAATTTTCATGGTTTCGTAGTACCCCACGTACCGGCTCTGTGGGTCACAGAGACAGAATAAATTATTCTAATTAGTGTTTAAAATACAGCATACATTTAAGGCCTTGGACTCTTTCTGATTCTGCTGCAACACAAGATGTTCAATAACAAATTTAAATACAGTAAATGTATTATAATACTGCTCGGTGTAAAACGTCAGCTCTATTCTGGAAAATATTCCACTAAGGCAGAAACACGTTAATAAAAGGAAAGTGCACTGCGTGGTTTGGTCGTCTAATGATTTAATAAAGTTGCAAATATGCAGAGATTGAGTGACAACCGGACAGAAAGGAATCAGCAGCTCTGTCAAGTTACCACTGCTCAGCCACAGACAGGAAATGCATATAAATAACTTCCCGGCGTGGTCCGTAAGAACAAATAAGAGCRTGCCAAATACTAGAAAGATATTGAAYGGCCAATGAAAGTAATTACTTACTTAATACATGCAATGTGAAATGAGCACAAGGTTGTGGACAACAGAAAACCATGAGAACAGATTATACAAATGTGGCAGTAATCAGAGAGAGATACAGAACAGAACATGTCAAGGTAATGTCAACTTAGCAGTTAGGTAGGATTATATAATATATTTCCACCACAAACTCAAACAAGTGTCAAATTATTCTGAGCAGTTTCACATCTTTTAGCACAAAGTCAAATTCTTTTTAAACCGCTGCACCCTGCCTGACACAGGGAGATGCATGTTAGACTTTAGTGTCTAATTAAAAACCACAGTTTTACCTGAGAAGGAGTCTCCACTCCCTGAAACTTGGAACTCTGACTTTTGTCCGTCCTCCTCTCACCAAAATACTCCAGACTGTCCTGGTATGTAAACAGAAATAAACACAGTAGCAGCCTTGTAATAAAATACCTGACTAATTTATTAACCCCGGCCTGGAGAAAGCACAAACGTTGAGCGTACCTGTGCACTTTCAAACTGGTCGCTGTCAATGAGCCACGTGCACACCATTGTCCCTGTGCGTCCTGTGAAGAGCAGCACTAGGATCAGCATTTGGTAGAAGATACCCAGACGCAGTGAGGTACCAAAACCAAATCTTTGACGTCACCTTTTCCTCCTTTACAGTGAATAGCGATAATGTTTTTAGGATCCGCAGACATCCAGTCCCTCACACTTGCTGTGTATTTCAGCATGTCCCTGAGAAAATCCAGAACAGACTAATAACTAAAGAATYAGCGTTCCTGCAAAAATACAGTATGAATACTTAATGCTGAAAGAGTTTTGCTGAATAGCTGAAACTAGCTGAAAAAATACATTTTAAAAAAAGTAGCTGAAATCAGCACAATCAGAAAGCAAATTATCCAAGGTGAATTTAGCTGAAAATAATCTTCATTAGCTAAAACACAGAAAACAGCTATAATCAGAAAGAAACATAAAAAGCTTAAAATAGCAGAAAGACACACAAAAAAGTTTAAATTAACCAAAGACTAGTAGAAAAAGGTCAGAATAGCTAAAAAAAAAAAGCTAAAATCAGCAAAATAGAAGTTGAAAGAAGCTGAAATAAGCACAAGGAGACAAATAAAAGCAGAACTAAAATAAAAAAGGTAAAAAGTTCAGTAAAGACTTATGAACATTTTTGATATTTTTTAAGGATGTTGAAAACAGCACCATTCATTTTCTAAGAAAAACATGTCAGAAAAAAAAGTATAAATTGCTAAAGACACCAAAAGTTATAGCTAGAATGTCCTAAAGGAGCTGAACATTTTAAAATATAAAAGGTTGAAATAGCACATAAATTGCAGAATATGTGCCAAAAAACATACAAAAGAAAAAAAAGATCTTAAACTGTCAAGTTATGSTACAACCAATAATACTGCTTTCTGATGGATCCTCTTTTTTTGGTTTAAAGAAAAGTTTGTGTAGCCTGGAAACATCATTTAAAAACATGGTGGGAAGATGGCTCTAAAAACACAACCAAGCAAGGTGAAACAAATAATTAAAGACAGGTTTCTTACTCCAAAGACGGGACGTTGTGGTCATCAATGAACACCCGTTCAACCCTGTAGTGGAAGAACTTTGGGTCGTAGCCTTTCTCACCTAGAAACAGGTAAATAGTTAAGTTATGCAAGGGGGAAAAAAGCAGGGCAGACAAAAAGCYAACTTACTGCAGAGGTTGTAAACTTTGTAGTGCTCTCCGTGTTTAGTGTCTAGAAACCTTGCAACCTCCTGAAAAAAAAAAAAACAGAAGAGGTTATCGTTCACTGGGCACTTGATTCATCACAAGGGCTGCGTGCTTGACTACTTCTCAAGAAAAGTGATGGCGGAAGATGAATGCATGATGGGATAAAACTCCCCAAAAATCGTGCACACCTGTTCACTCCTACTTACCCTGATTGGATTCCTATAGAAGGCCTGCTTCCCAGAGGACGGGAAAGACATGGCAATGACACGGTCTGGAGAGGTGGGAACAGATGCAAACACATTTTCGAATTGTTAATAAAATATTTTATTTTTAATTGTAAAGAACATTTGATATTTTTGTAAGACAGATTAATAAAAATGACTCAGTTCAAAGTATCCAAAACAAAAACATCTCACACCTACCTGTGACGTAAGTGAGATCAAGGTCAAATCCATCTTTTTGATAACGCCTCTTGTTCTCAGATATCTAATGGGGGAAAACTTCCAGTTATACTTTGATGTTAAACCAAATGAGACTTAAACTTGTCTGTCATTAACTTGTTTCGATCACCTCCTGACGAACCTACCATCCTCCTGGTGACTTTCTCCAGCTCTTTCTTCTGAGATGCCAGCCTGAAAATCCTCACAAAGATGATTATTCTCAAAAAGCGCAGGAAGGTCACGACCCTGGCAACGACAGAATGAAAAAACACAAATAAGAACCAACTTCTCCTACCAGGGGATGCACAAAAACCTAACATTTTGACTGGCAAGTTAGTAAAAAGGTGGGAGTCTTGAGTAAAAGGACCAACCTAGGAATGAGGCTGGCACCGGACATGTCACTGAAGGTGTAGATCATGGTGACCACCAGTGTGATAACAACAACAACGGCGTCCACAATGTTCAACTTGGAGCTGAAGTACACTTTGAAACTAAAACAGGCCAAGAAAAGATAAGTAAAACATAAATAAAATATCACCTTCCCCTGTTCACGAAATGTATATCGTAGATGCAGTGGCGGAGCCAGACTTTTCTCAGGGGTGGCCAGACGGGGACCATTACTCACGAAGGGGTGGCCAGRAATATTACATCATTTTTACTTGAAAGTTTGTTGCAGATCTTTGTTTTTTGGTCATTCCCTTATGTCCTTATACAGGCAGTGATTATAAACATGGGTGTCACAACCATTTTAAAAGTGTGGGGACACACTGTTGTCTGGGGGTCCTCCCCCAGAAAATTTTGAACAAAATTGATGCCATTTCCTGCATTCTGGTGCATTTTACAAGGTTGTTTAACATACATAAATAAACACTTGATTTAATAATTATTCTTCATTAAACTAGTTCCATCATACTGTTTTAAACTCACTGTTACAGCTGAGATAAGTTTTAATTAATGTGTCACATTTTATCATATCTAATGACTTTAGGGGTGCCTTTTACTTTTGTATAGTTTATTGATTTATTTTTAATTTTAACACATCATTGTGCCAAATAATGATGACCTTCAACTGCATGTTTAAAACTAATATTAATAACTTTACCCAATGAACAGGTGCAATATTGATAAGGACCAACAGTGAATTTAAAGGGGCATTTAACTTTTTCTTTAGCGATAGGTCTACTCCCAACCAAAAAGGGGCAGAGCATCATGCAGCCTTCAAAACATAAAATTACACTGTGTTATGGTGACAAAAAAACAAAACAAAAACATTTATTACCACAAGTCAGATTACATAGACATTTTATACAAAGAAAACAATCACTTCTTTGTCACTTCTTTGAGCTTGGTGATGTTTCAAACTGTTAAACACTGCCACCAACTGTTAAGGAGGATTATTACACCCCTAAAGGTTGTTTCAATGTGGAAGGGGTGTCTACAGCAGGATGGCCAATGGGGTGGCCAAAGATGCGTCTGTGGCCATGGCCACCCCTGGCCACCCCTGGCTCCGCCCCTGCGTAGATGACTGTTTAGAAAACGGACAGGGTTTACGGAGTGACCCTGTCCTTGCATTCCAAAGTAACAGTGGAACACATGGTATTCATTTCCTGTAGTGCTTCCTCTTCATGATTTCCTGTTCAACATCTAATCTCACCAACATTCTGCTGACCAAGGAGCTTGGAAATGTTTGCATCACTCCTCAGAGCAACTCCAGCTCGCACACGCACAGTGACAACTGACGACAAATTATTTACGCAACTGTTACAAAAGTAGGATTTATGTCGATTCATGAGAGTGCGCTGTTCTTTCTGGAATCCAAAAAGCCTTTTACACTGGTGTGGTRGAGAGCGTCCGGACCACCTTTACAGTGTGGAACAACAGCTGTACTAGAGACCCATCGGGCGCAGCTTACCATCCTTCAGGGACGTTTACATCACCAGGTGCTGGGCTAGAGCCACATGCGTCCTTCATGACTCCTCCCATCCTGCACCTGCACTTTTCTCCCCAGGCAAAAAATACAAAACAAATCCAGACAGCTAAACTGCAATTTACCATCCAATCTGTGATCTGCTGCTTCTGATGTCTGCCTATTTCACTCAATTTATTTATTATAGTCCTTTTTCATGAATACATACTCAAWTGTCTAATATATTACTTTTTGTGTTACATCATCTTGGGTCTTGGGTAACTGTTTTTCATTTTTATCCATAATGGTGTGAATGGAAATAATCTGAGTCTGAGGCTGAAAGGAGGAGAAGTTGAGGAGGTAACACTGAACACAGTRCGGAGCTTGACAGGTTCATTTGAATCGTTTAAAGCAAAGATCAAAACAACTAAAAGCAGATGCTGAAACCTGCAAACTCACCCTTCCACATAGACCCGTAGCAGAACRTCAGCGAGGAAGAAGAAGGAGATGGTGAGGGACACGGCTTCTAAAGCGTTGCCAACGTCTCTGCTTTTGTTTGACAGCGAGAAGTCCACAATCACGAGCACAAAGTCTACAATGATCAGCACCACACCGAACACACTGGAGGAACAGACACAAAGTAAGGTTCATATGGTGCTCGTCGAGGAAAGGAAACGTTTCAAGTAAGAGAGACTCACCGAAACCCAAAGGACATGACAAACGGAGATATCGTTTTACGAATGTTGCTGTGAGAAGGAACAGGTGTCATGATTTACCTCCTAACCTCTTAAGTCCAAAATGTTAGATATAATGAACTTACTGGTACAYTGTATCCGGCACAGTTTTCTCCTCCTTTCCATCATCAATCTCTACTTTTGCATCTTCCATCTTTGCAACGTTTCTGTGAGAAAGATTAGACAGAGAGAGATAAATGCATTCTGTGTTTTTATTTTTATTTTATTTTTTTAAAAGGGAGGGGGAAATAGTTGAATGTTTTCTTCAAAAAGATTTTAAAAAATGCTTCTCACCCATTTACTCCTGAGTCTGAGCCTGGATTAAAGTACACAGACATTATAACTGAGCTTTTCTGGCTTTATTCTGGACTTCCTGAAAACTGGACGGACAAATAAATAAAGAAATAAATTAAATAAATAAATAAATGWACTTTTTAGATATTTGGCGTGTAAAACAAAACGAGTTTCTGCCTCGCATTCACTCACGAGTTCAAAAAGGAAAGTATTGCTTTTAAGTCGGCTATTTACCCTTTATGCAAACCACAGCTGCAGAAAATACAAAGCACAAGATTTCAAAGCATTAATGGAAACACAAACAAACATACCTGAGTGTATCTGTTGGACTAATTAAGCRCACAAACCCCCGTTAGGACTCATTGGAGAAATCTTTACGACAGCTCGTCTTGTGACTTCTTGGGAGGACGGAGAAAAAGGTTCAAAGGTTAACCGGGTAACTATCCTCCCCACTCACTAACTCTCATCTTTTTTTTCTTCTTTTTTTTTTTTGCAAACGTTGTAGTTTTCGGACTTCCTGGACTTGGGTGGAAACGCTCAGCTCTTCTGGTTAATCATCTTTCCTCTTCTTCCTCGTCCTCCTGTTTTCAGTCAGCTGTCAGTCTAAAAAAAAAAAAAAAGAAGCACCGAACCGAGCCTGCAGAAACCTCTTCCTGGCCTGCTTTACAAAGCTGGAGGTTTCAAAGTAAAATAGACCGACAGGGTTCAGCCCCCTCCTCCTGCTCCTCCTCCTCCTCCTCTGTCTCAAATCTGGTTCTAATTAGGTGACTGTGTGCATTCCTTGAAAAAAAAAAAAGAGGCATTACGTGTCAGGAGACGTCATTGTTTTTGTTTTCTGCTTATGTTTGTTCCTTTGTTGATTTTATCTTTTTGTTAAATCTACAACCTAAAAAATTCCACAGCATTTGTTGTTAGAACTTGACATAAAAATATTTTTTCAGCATAAAATTAAAGTTGTCTATAGCAGTGGTTCCCAAACTTTTTATCTTCTGACCCACAAAATATCCATGGCAAAAACTTGTGACCCCAAATATAACTGGTCTGAGTACATGAACTTCATTAATAACCCTAAAAWCGCAGGCTTTTTGACCATCTAAACAGCTTATACACAAATATAAATACTTATTTTTACTTRTTTTGTGTTTTTGTAATAAATAAAGGGAAAGTAGTACACCAGCAATTATTTTATTACCCTTTAAATTGATTTCTGGAGATTATCCAAGGTGCTTCATGACCCATAATTGGGTCCCAAACCCAACTTTGGGAACCAAAGTGCAGTGGTTCCCAAACTTTTCAGCYTTTGACCCACAAAATAACAGTAGCAGAGACCTGTGCCCCCAACTATTTTTGTATGATAAACATTTGTAGCAGGTCAACAACACATGGGCATAGTAACAATATTTTCATACTACATTTATCCATTTTAAATATACTAACCTCACTCCTTTGTAACAACTAAGGCAAAAATGTCATTAATTCAATATTTTCAGGACCCCACCTTGATGTTTCGGGACCCCACTTTGGGTCCCGACCCCAACTTTGGGAAACACTGGTCTATAGGAGTTGGCTAATTATTTTTAAAAGTCAGAGCATCACAAATTAATTAAATAATTATTTTTAATTAATTAATTAATCTCCTTTTAAATGTTTCAGCACACATTTTCATCACTCAACAACAGAAACTRTTATGAAAGATGATCAGGGCCACTGGGGGGGAAAAAATCTGACTTTAATCTCAGATCAAAGTAAATCATGCTGGTTTGCTAAACCAAACCAGTTACATGTTGGATATAAGCAATGTTGGTAACTTAAAAAGCTGAGTGGACATTGTTGCAACATTTTTTAAAGTTGAGCCAACAAAACATTTTTTAGAGCGTACCATAACTTTTGTAAAATCTGATTATTGGCAAAACCAACTGTTTTAAGTTTCAAAAGTTCCCACTGACAGCTCTGTTGGTAGAGTATGTGAAGAATGAGGTCCTCTCAGTACTTTATAACAAAAATAATCTGACCTGCTCTGGGATCAGCTATCCACTGCCATGCAATGCCAAGCAAAGAACATAAATCAGTCTGAGTTCACTATTTGGAAAAAAAATTGTTCCCTTCTGAATCATCTAATGTGGACCATGCAGAACTGACCTGGCCTATAAATAATACTGACACGTTAGAGGAGAACACACAACCTGAGGAAAACAAGAGTGAAGCATTGCAAAATGAAGGTAGGTTTGAGGCGATCTTATTTTCACAAGTTGTAAAATAATGTCAGTTATGTTATATTTGTGATTTTAGACAAATACTGCAGCAAGGAAGCTTTTCCGGAATATCATACCASTGCTGCCATTGTTGTACCTGGTCAGCCCAGCTTTTTCTGCACAACTTAACGTATGTAGCATCTGCTTTTACTTGGTTTTTTTTGCATTGACATTCGAAGCTGAAGCAGCTTAAGTAAATTACAGCGACAAAACAGAGAAACTTCATAACTTTAAGATGTCTATTTCTAGTTAAAAGCAGAAGACATGTGTGCGTCAGAGGTGGCAGCTCTCAAAAGCAGCATAAAGAAGCTGGAGAACGAACTTGTGATCACGACTTGGCAGGTTGAGCACCTGCAGATTCACAAACACTTCAGACCGTTGCAACGTACGCTCGACAGTGATCTTGAAATCGACCGAGCCTCTGTTAGAAACCAGGACGGTCTGAATCAGAACCTCACTAAAACACTTTCACCAGCTGGTAATTTAATTGTTCATGACAGAGGTAAGAATCGGGCTTTGGCTCAAGCTTTCTGCAGTCTTTTTGGTGTGGAATRTGAAAGATGTTTGCCAAAAACATTCTGCTTTCTGATGCTATTTTTCTAGACTGTTCTGAACTGTTTGACAGACTGAGACCACCAAGCGGTTTCTACCGCATCAAACCCAAATCCCACGAGGAGCCATTTTTAGTCTACTGTGATATGGAGGACGGAGGAGGGTGGACAGTTTTTCAAAGACGTCGACATGGAAAAGTCGACTTTGACAGGTATTGTACCTGAGCAGAAATGRTAGGCCATGTAAACTTGTATTAAGCTTGTAAAGTTAGCACAGCTGATCAAATATGAACATATCTTTGTAGAGACTGGGTGGACTACAGAGAYGGTTTTGGTGATTTCAAGCTGTGGAATGATGAGTTTTGGTTGGGGAATGAGCGTATATATTCTCTTCTTTCAGAAGGTCATGTAATCCTAATAATTTTTCACATAAAATCTAATATTACCTTTCATGTGTTACTATAATTAACAACACATCATGTCTATTGGTATTATCCCCCCCTGCAGGTAGAAACCTGGTGAAGATTGATCTCATGGACTGGGAAGGACTCAAAAGTTACGCATTTTACGAGAACTTCCGGATCACCATTGAGGCTGTAAGAAGAAAGTAAGAAAAAAATGCTTAAAATGACCATTTCAGCAAACCATGTTCTCTTATTCCAGGATAAGTATCGCCTCAAATATGGGCAGTACAGTGGTCAAGCTGGGGATGCGATGACTGGTGGTGGGGGRAGGGTGGAGCAGTGGTCGTCCTGTCTCAGTGGAATGCAGTTCAGCACCAGAGATCAGGTTATTACTCCCCCTATCAAAATTTAATATGCTATTATCTCTAGACTGTGTGCATAGGAGGATTGTGATAWCTTGATTGCAACTGACAGGATAATGACAGATTTCTTCAGGGAAGCTGTGCCCAGGAGAACAAGGCAGGTTGGTGGTTCAATAGGTAAGAACTTTAAACACGTATATTAATTTTTCTTCATTCACGGTTGATTTTTCCACAGACACTATTGTGACAAAGTCTGTGGTTCTGTACTGAATTTATTTCTAATGTTGCTCTTTTAACTGCAGGTGTCACGCAGCCAACCTGAATGGAAAGTACTACCGCAAAGGGAAGTACAAGGCTGAGTACGACAACGGTGTGGTGTGGGGGACATGGAAAGGCTTGTGGTATTCTCTTAGACACACCACCATAAAGGTGCGCCCCTTGGTTTTCTTGGACACCGTGGGAAGTGGAGCAGGGGACATTTGAAAAGCATCAGGTCTTAAAACGAAGAAACGCTCTGGCTTTTAAATTATCATTGCTCCTCTTTGTTTCATTTTTTAAATTTGTTATAAAAATCAGCTAAAATGTAACCTTTTCTTTCTTTAAGTATAGACTGCAACATTAAAACCAGCAGGATTTCAGCCTTTTTGCCTCACAAATGTTCATATTTTATCATTCTCAAACATGCTTAAATTTTCAATACAGAGCTAACCTATGCATATTTTATATTTTAAATGCACTCAATAGTTGGCTTTATCATAAACCAGAGGTGCCCAACGTGSTGCCAAGCTATTTGATTTGGCCCGCCAGCAGTTCCCCTGGTTAGTTTGGGCACCCCTGCCATAAACTATAGATCATGGTTCTCACTATGCAAGGTGGGACTTTACAGGTCGATTGAAACAACAAATTTAAAGTAGAAGAACCCCTTCATTTAGGCTTATTAAATACTGTCAAAGACATGACATGATGAAGGTATAAAATCATGTTAAAGAGATTTTGTTAAAGAGTTTAACAGTGGTGAGCAGAGAAGAAATATATATAAAAAATACACTGATTTGCAAAGTTTTCATTTAAAAAGAGAATTCAAAACAAACTGAAAAAGAGTTTCCTAAAACTTTGAATATCTTCAAATAGGAATATGTAACATTATCATATATTATTAACTGCTATGTGGATACATAGATTATTAGAAGAGTGTTGAAAAATGTTACTGGTTCCTCTCATGTATTCTTTTCCTCTTCCTGTACAAATACTGGTGAGAGATCCAAGTCCAGCATCCTCTGTTCTGCCTCGCTTAAACTGTAGGGAGAGACACCACTGTTGTAGATTCGAGACTTTGGTAGAGAGTGGCACCAGTCTTTCCTTTGCTGAGAAGACGTCAACACACCGAAGCTGGCGCTGCGCTTGCGCCCTTTGACTCCCGAGCAGGACTGAGCCTCTTTCAGTTTCCGAGCCAGCATGTTTCTTTGGATAGGTGACGGACCACGGCGGTTCCAGTTCTGTTCAGCTCGATCCACATTCAGTTTGTTCACTTCATGAGATCTGGGAAATCCTGAGGGTGGACCTCCGATCCCTGAGACTGATTCTCCACGTCCACCTTCTGGCTCACCAGACTTTTTCCTTTCTGCAGTGCCCCTGAAGTTTGTTTCAGCAAGTTTTTCAGGTGTTGATAAGCTATTTGTGTTTGTCCCTGTGTGTTTGAGTTGATTATTGTGTAAAGGAGCTGCTGTTTCTATCCAGGGCTTCTTCTGGTCGTTTGCCTGGGGTCTGGCTTTAGCCCACTCTGAGACTGCGTGCTCTGGAATGGGGTATGAACGATGTGGCTGTCTCTCCCATCCTCTGCCGGTCCAACAACTTCCTTCTGGAAGCGTCCGAGATCCCACCTGAACAACAAGTGACCACATGTTAATCTTGACTATAAACTGAATACAGCTAAATAATATACAGTAATTAAAGGTGCACAGTTGACCTGGGTCATGCTTCTTTCTCTGAACTGTCTGGCCTGAGCTGAGGACATCAGCTGGGGTTTGGTGTCATTAAAACTTGAGGTGCGCCTGAAGTTTGGATTCTTATGGTAGGTGTTTCCTGATGAAGCGTCTCCTCCTCCTCCTAGGCCTGCTAATCCACTCCTCTCGACCATTTCCACCCAATCCGCAGTGCGTTCTCGCCAATTAGAGCTCCTCCCGCTGGAATGAGCAGGGACAGGCGGGCCTAAAAGAAGCTCCACTCTGGGACTCAGTCTGTCTGATGTAACTTTTGAGGTCTGCGGTGACAGCTCTGATAAAGGAGTAGCAATGCAAAGTTGATTCTGGTTAACATTGTCCTTGAGATCAGAAGGAAGGGCAGAATGAGCAAGTCCTGTCGGCGTGGGAAAAGAGGAGGTAGTGGGTGAGGCAGATGCTTCTAAGGTGTCATGGACAGGGCTTGAGGAGACATGGTACAGCTGCGTGGCCTCTTTTAACCCCTTCTTCTTCATCTCTTTTAACTGTTGCTGTGCCAACCGGTACCTGCACAGACACTCTTGTCAAGGCTGGGTAATGATCAAATACATTTTGGGTACCCCCTTACAATAAGGCTCCCCTCATATATGGCTTATAAATAGTTTATAGATAAGTTATTAATTAATCTGTAAACACTTTATAAATTGTTAATAAGTGTTTATTTATTAATTAAGGACGGGAAAGAGACAAAACTGTCAGATTTCTTGCCAAACAGTGAGCCAAATGTGTTCATGTATATATCACATCTAAATGTGCTTATTAAACATTTCAGACCAGTTTAATACCTTGTAAGCACAATAATTTATTGAAAACACATATTTTACATATAAAATTGTACTGTATTACCACATTATACATATCCATAGTAATCAAAAGGAGCCTTATTGTAAAGTGTTGCACAGTATAATAATAATAATGTCATAACAGAGCCTTATAAATAGTATACYGTTTTACACTTTACAATAAGGCTCCTTTAYGGCATTTATACAAGTTTATTAGTCATTAATAAATAGTGTACCTACTGTCTTACATTTTACAATCAGGCTCCCTTTGACAGTTGTTAATATGTATAAGTAATAGTTCAATATCATTTTTTAAATGTGTGTTTCCAATACATAATTGCGCTTATAAACCTAGTAATATGTACACAAACAGATTTGGCTCACTATTTGGTGAGAAACCAGACAGTTTTGTCTCTTTCCTGTCATTAATTAATCCATAATAAACATTTATTAATGATTTATAGTGTTTACAGATGAATCAATAGCCTATCTATAAACTATTCATAAGCCATCTATAAGGGGAGCCTTATTATAAAGTGGTACCACATTTTGCAACATTTAAAGTAAATAAACATTTAAACATACCCAAATATTGTTGGTAAAACCTTCTGGCCTGTAGGAGACAACCTTTCTGAATCCGGTGAAAGCGGCAGCACCTGTGGCGTGAGAGGCTGAGWTCCGAAGGCGGGCCTGTCTTTCTGAGAACCGATGTCCCCTGAYGGGCCATGGCCGTCGCACAAGCTGGGCCTTTGGAGACTGTGGCCACAGATGGAGGCCTCGTCTGAAAGCTTGCGCCCCCCAGCRGAATGCATGGAACCTCTATGAGCCGAGCTGCACTGAGGCGTGCGGCAGAGCTTTTTCCACACAGTCACCACAACGGTAGCCGCGATCACAGCCAAGCAGAGGAAAATACCCACCACAACAATCATGTTTCCATCAAGGGGTTTGACTCCAACAGGTACGGGGGAGAAAGATGGAGAAGGAGAAGATAACACTGAGGAGTGAAGATAAACAATTAGCATCCACTTTTTGCTAAAAGGTCTCGTAAAGTGAAAAAGAATAGTTTTAGTGTATTGAATATACTTCTAAATAATTAAAAGTTAAAAAAAAGTTCGACTGTGAAGAAACTGACCGTTGCAGTCCTCCAGTGAGCACACAGACTGCTCCTTCACCATCCCTGTGCATTGCATCCCTCGTGCACCCGAGGGCAGTAAACACTCGCGCACTCGCTCCCTCACCCCATCCCCACAGCTCACGCTGCACACGCTCCACGGCTGCCAGGGACCCCAAGATTCTGTGTTTACAATGAGAAGATGAAAAGAGCAGACATGTTAGTCTTTTATAAGCCGTACTTGTGTGTCGCTTCATTTTAACCTGCCCTCTAACATTAAGCAACATTATCAGGAAAGACTGTGGCTTTTACCATTAATGCTCGATGCAATGCTGGGGATTATTTAAAGGAGACATATCATGTTTTTAAATTCTTCGGTTGGGGTCTATTTAAAGTGGAACTGCAATGCTTTGGTCTGTATCCCCCCTTATTGTGACTCCACAAGCCCCTCTTTCACTCCATTCCAGTTTGATAGAGGGGTTTATGATGATTGTATAGCAGTGCAGACACCTTTTGTTTACAAATGAATTAAAATATGTCAACAACAGAAGACTTGTCCATCTAAAATTTTCAGCTTGAGCCGTAATCTTTAGCGGCAACCWTTCCTTCCCTGACAATACTGAGTTACAGAGTAACTAAGTAAGTAAAACACTTATACGTTATGCAGCTACCAAATATTAAAGTGCCTATGACACAAACTTTTTAAAATAAATATAAAGGCATTACAGGAAAAATAACATTATTAGCATATTGCAGAAACAATTTCCCACTGCTGAGATGAACAGTTGTTTAGGTATTTGCATGTGAAGGAACAGGAAGTGATGTCAAAGGGGAATGTCTGCATGGAACATTGATAAAATAGCTAACGACACGAASTGTAGAGAAGAATCTGATGTTTCTTTAGATTATTTTGAGTCACTATCAGAGATAGATGAAGACGAGTCAGAGTTCAAATAATATTGTTTCAATAAACAAAGATTGCAGAGTTCTATTTCTTAAAAAGTTCCCCTTTGATGTCACTTCCTGTTGCACTTTGGCTGTGCCAAGTTCAAAATAAAATATGCCATTTATGTGACAAAATGGGTAAAATCACGTTTTATGCAAGGTTTCATATATTAAAAAATGTGTTTTCTTTGACTTTTTGAATTCGATGATGTCACAGGCACTTTAAAGTATCCATCTATTAGATCTCACCTGCACTCCTGTAAACTACCAGACATGTCTGTGCTGGGCTAGGGGAGCGGCTGAAGTTGAAAAAAAAGCGAAAGCAGTACTTGTTTTTTCCCGGGTAAAACACGGAGCAGTTAAACTCAGTCTCATTCTCTCCCTGAGTCAGCCAGTTGAAGGCCAGAGGAGGAGGAGAAGGTTCCTCCATCACTGCGGAGGCAGCGACGCCTCTTCCAGCAGCACCCGCATCACTGTGCAGCGACACCTTCCCGCTGACGTGAGCACACGGTGGCGTAACCATTTTAACAGTCATCGTTCCCTCACAGCCGCTCTTGTAAGCGTTGGCATTTTCCACCAGCAGCTTATAAGAGAAAATGCGAGACAGGTAGAGAGGTCCAGAGCTCTTCACTTCTTGTGGTGTATGAGGAGATGTCAGAGCCACTTTTATAAAGTCCTTCTCAGTGAATGGGAATGCACAGGACAGCTCAACRCTCTGGGAATGGAGGGGTTTGATTTCTTTCCTTGTGCGAGCTCGAACTTTGTCAAAGGTGTTTCTTCCTATCTGGTTGTACTCCATGTAGCTCACTTCTAAGAAGAGTGCAGAGTTGATGTCACTGGAGCATGCCTGAAACTGTTCATTTGTAGATATCCCAACCTGAGGAGAGAATAATGCATCAATCTTTGTTGTGTTACTGTGTAGTAAACCCAAAATGATGTGTTAAATTTAAAAATATATATAATTAATCTACCTGAAAAGATCCTGAGTGGTTTCCTGCTCTCTCCACAGCAATATGAAAGGTGGGCCACTGCACTTGTAGCTCAGAACTCCACCACCAGGTCGAGCTCTCTGTGCTGGTGCCGTCCGTTCTGTTAGCGTGATTAACCTCTGTGATGCTGGTCTGCCTCAGCAGAAACCGGAAAGTTCCCGCATACAGGAAGCAGGAACAATCGAACTCCACCCTTCCAACCAGATGACTGCGGTCAAGGGTCCTGGTTAGAACCGTGGTGTTGGTCTCCATGTTGACCAGAGAGAGGGTCATGTTGCGGATGGTGCTGCCGTTGGATTTTGTGTTGAAGTCCACAAATACACTGCCATTGCTGAGGGCTACGTGGAAGGAAGGCCAGATACTGAGCCCTGCAAAAACTACAAGAATGAGATTAAAAAAAGACAAATTATTAGAAAGTTATGATACCATATTGATTTCTGACACCAGACATCGAACCAACAGGTAATGTATGTAAAACTGTTTAAATAGAATGTGGAAAAATAATTAGAAGCTTTTATTTTTGAGCTGATCTTTTTCACATTTTAAAGAAAATTCTCCAAAAGATATGCAATAACATAAAAAAATTCTGCACAACACTGCTACAATTAGCAGACAATAATTAGAAAATATAAGGCAGAAAATAAATTAAACATCTGAATTATATAAGTTTTGCAAATAAGTATATGTAGTCTAATTAGTACATTATTTTAGGAGCTATTAAGTAAGTATGACAATTCTACAAGATGTACTACAGCATATATATTTATGCTTTCTTCTTTGGATTGTATTTTCTTGAAAATTAGGAACTTTAATCAAGACAACACTTCTTGTTTCTCACCATATCCTACAAGCAGCAGGAGGGACAGCAGTGAGACAGCCTGTGGCATTCCGATGTTATGTTCCTCTTCTTTCTTCTACACCACATGACCGTCTTATCCCGACATCCCTCACCTCTATAAATCAGAGGGCAAACAGCAAGTTTTTGAAAAAAAAATTTCAATAATTTACAAAAGYAGCATTCTCAAACAGAAAAATTAAAAGCATGGAAGAAGTGTGTTCTTTCTTCTGAGGGTTGAAGAACAGGAAGATCATAGTATGAAACGGTAAACACGTTTTCTGGATTTTTTTTTAGGYGTGTCCTCCTCTTCCTTCCATCCTCACAATGGGCTCAAGGAGTTGTTGTCGTCACACTGCTGACATTCCTTTGACGGGCTTTGTTCACAACAAAGAAACAAATTTGTATACAATTTGTTGGTTCTACCATAGATTTTGAAGTTTTCACAGAAAATAAACTCATTAACGATAGTGCCACTAATTTCTTAAGATGAGGGGACTATAATTAAAATAAAGCAAAATAAATAATCATAATGCAAACAGATCTAGTCTTTTCATGCATCCAGAAGTATGCTCCATCATACAGTATTTTAAAAATATGCTGTAAAAAGAATGCTTTTATTAGACATTTCAGCTCGTTTTGTTTCTCATTTTATGGTTATAAGAAATATTTTTAGGGGTGGAAATGATGTTGACTTCTTATTCAGCTCCAGAKAGGAGCTGCTACCTGTAAATTATATCAGAAATCTTGACCATGACCAATTGAATTAGTTCAAACTCCATCAAAACAATAGATAGATAGATGATAGATGATAGATAGATAGATAAACTCAGCTGGGGTCAAATTAAATCCATTGCTCGCAGTGAGAACAGCACAAAAACTGAGTAAAATCCCAACAAAACAGAATAAACCTAATTTTATGATTAGCATGTGCCCAATTAAAAACTCTAAAAGTGTGAATAAATATAGCGTCTACATAATGTAAACAAAAACAAAAATTTGCCAGCAAATCATGAAATTACAAGTAGCCTACCATCTAGTGGTCGTAATAAATAATGATATTGTACTTACACGTCTTATCTTACGCATTATTTCTTTATAGTTTTTTGAACGAAACAGCGGCCGCAATAGTAGTTCCACGTACGAGCAGGACATTTTTCTTCAAATAAACACCAAAAACATTTCGCCAACACGCAGCGTCCGAAAGACCAGGGGTGCGCGCACGCATCTTAGGCGCGCGTGCCCTGAAAATCCGCTCAGTTGTTTACATGGGTGGACGTAATTTCCACATCAACTCTGTCATTTTTGTTTCGCAATTTCATTTAAAATACATCTAGTGAAAAGTTAAAGAAGTGCTGCAAATAAATTTAAATAGTTGTCGATATTTTTGAATTCTTATCTTGGCTCAAAAGATACCAATTCAAGATGATAGCAGTTTTCCCCAACAAACACACAGGTCATTAAACGCCTCAGCAGGTGCCAAAGAAAGAGGACTAAAATTAAWATGCAACAATAGAAATCTTTAATTTGCATACTCAATGCCATATCTTTACAAAAGGCTGACATTTTACTTATAAAAAAAATATTCGTGTCTATTTTATGGCAGGATGCCAAGGTACCATCAAATATTTGGGTCATTCTCCCACAAAGCCCTTCCTCAGTAGTCCTATAATTTTGCTATAAATCAGCGATATGAAGCAAACATAGCTGAACTTTAAGACACACTACAACACTAAAACATTCAGAATGGTGATAAAATAATGCAACACTGGACTGTCAGATGATTTCAAAACTCAAAGCCATTTTGCACAGAAAATAATAATAATAAAAAACCTCTGAATCATACACGACTATTATATTTCGACTTGCTTCAGCTCGGTTCTCAAGATTCCCTGGACCAACTGAGTTAAGCAGAGAACCACATGGCAGAGTAATCTAATCAGCTCTACAGACCCTTCATTTTTCCTTTAGCAAAAAAAAAAAAAAGAAAAACAGGAAGCATCCCAGGAGATGAAACACAGGTTACAGAGCATTTCAGTCCACAGCGATAAAGAACAATTCAATTCTGTGTAAACATCATTTGATATTTTTACAACATGCTAACCTAATCACATTTTTATATTCATTTATTTAAATAATCATTTTATTAAAACAGAAAGGACTAATTTCGATGAGCAGAACCAAAGGACCAATAAAATACTAAAGCTGGAGCCTTTTACATTTAGATTTGTTTAAAAGACAAGATAAAGAGGACAAGTTTCAGACTTTAATAATTTATTAAAGAAAATCACTATTTTTTAATTGAAATTTTATCCAAAAACAGTGACTGGGAGTGTTTGTAACAGAATACACTGGTTTAAAAGAATGAGGGGAATCTAYGTTTAGTACAATTATAAACACAATGATGGATTYTGATACAGGATAAGCATCAACAGACACCCTGGTGAACACGTCTGAACATTGTCTGTCTGTAGAGGTGCTACAGCAAAGTTGTAGTCCAACAAATATGTCAACAGATCAAAACAGGTTTACGTAGAATCTCAAACCCTCAACTGAGTCATCTCTACACAGGTGGCCCACCTTCTCAGCCAGCAATAACCTGGGGATTAAAAGAAACAAGAAAAAAAACAGATAATACAATGAAAAACTTCATTTTAATAATGTTTTAACRATGTTCTGGTTCAAAAGAAACGATTAGCATTTTGCGCTAACCTACCGTTCTTTAGAGAGAAGAACAGAGAGACCCAGGAGCTTGGCAAACTCCTCTGCTGTCAGAGAGCCTTTTTCTGACACCTGAGAATGAGGAAAGAAAAAAAGTCGATTTCAACAGTTGGTGGAACAGGTKTTGTTTATTAGTTACGGTTAAAGCTTACACTATCCAAAGCAGAGGCGATCATTTCCTCTTCGCTGTGCGACTGCAGCTGGACCACCATCACGCCGCTGTCAAACACACGCAGCCTACACAAGAGACAAGACACGTGAAGGAAAAGAAAGTCATGGTTATCTGAGTCTAACAACTGGAAATGATCCATAAAACAAAACACGTGAAAATCGACAGGCAACGCTCAACACATTATAAAAACACACACATTTAACCATTAAAGTTCGACACAGACCACCTGAATAACGCAAATGTGCTGAAATAATTGTCTGATTTTAGTTTTTTCATGTATATCCCTTCAGAGATTTTTTGAAAAACCTTAGTTTGGAGAAAAGTAGTTGAGTATTGAATGAATGAATTGACGAGCTAATGGCTAGTCAGAGCGGGGCCAAGCCCATAGTGAACTGCTGTAGTATTAAAAAAAATCCATTAAAAACAAAAACATACAAACTAAACCTTTACTGTCCTGTCAGTTTGGCATCACACAGTTAGTCTGGCAGAAATATGATGCACATGCAGGAAGTGCCACAGCTAGCTGCCACTGCTTCCAAACAACAACTATATAAAAACTAGGGCTGTCAAATGATTAAGGATTAAGGATTTTAATTCCTAATGAGTACTACATGAGGAATGAAAGATAGATACTAAGGTCACAGTTGTCAGCAAAACATAAATAAATAAAATAAAATAAGCCATAAGAAGATAAAAAGAAAAAAAAACTGTTTTCATAATGTGTTACCCATGGAGTTTTTAAATTTATTTTATTTATTTAACCTTTATTCATCCAGGTAAACCGTTTGAGAACCACTTCTCATTTACAAACATGACCTGGCATGCACTGAGTGCATTGCAATATACAAACCTACATATTCAGCCAAAGTAAAGGGATTGTAAATTTTAACTGCGATTAATCGCGATTAAAATTTTTAATCTATGCCCATGCAGCACTAAAATTAATCAGTTAACTCGATTAATTTCACAGCCTAAATAAAAACATTATAATGCAGAAAAGAAAACGTGATTATAAATAAAGTTCCAGATAAACAWTTCATTGTTTGATTTAGATTCAATATTTATGTGCTCATTGCGACAAGAGAGGTCAGTGTTTTTCTAAAACCTTGGGAAGTGACAGGAAATGACAGCTGCGGAAGTCTGGACACCCTTTTCCCACAACAGGAAGCCTGGCAGGAAGAGCCCGGCCTCTCTCTGCGAGCCTGCAGGCCCCGGCCTCGTCCCGTTTCACAAACACACAGCCGGCTTTACAACCACGCAGAGATCACCACTACTCACCTCAGAGGCAGCTTCAGCGACTCAAACATTTTGCACGCATTTAACAAATCTTCTGGAGATAAAAGCTAAAGGGGGAAAAAAAACAACAACACAATAAACAATGAATGAATCAGCRGTAACATGCTGTATATCTTCATCATGTGAGCATCACCTCCATGCCTCTGGCTCGGTTGACGAGACAGTAAACCTCTGTGAGAGCCATCATACCCCCACGCTCCTGAGAGAGAAGGAAGCAGCAGCGAGAAAGCAAGAGAACTTCAAAAAGTAAATAAATAAATAAAAAAAATTTAAAAGCACTTAAATTGGTTTCATCCACACACACCTCTAAAGGAGCCTGCAGCATATCTCCCAACTGCTTGGCCAGCTGCATGTGGTAATGTGTGCCCGATCCGTGYGTTTCTCTGGTAACGGGATTAGCAATACCCATGCTCAAGAGGTAGGACTTAAACCGAATTGTCTATAAAACAAAAATAATCTATGATTAAAAAAGTATCAAGCTACTTTGTGGAAATTAGGGGTAAATAATTTACAAAAAAAGCATCACATGTACAAAGATTGTAGACTTTTATAAATAATAACCCCACTGGGTTCAGCTCTTACCTCATCCTCTGTTATGTCTCCCTGCTTGTCTTTGATCTTGGTGGCGATGGATCTGGACAACTCCACCATCTCTTTAGCCTGTTGGTAAGACAATCATTTAACAAATCCCTCAGCGTTAAAGGGTATTTAATGCTCTTAAAGTGTAAGCGATCATTTAGTATAACTTTCAGCAGACAAACTGTAATTTGTACCTTAAAAATTTTTTAATTCTTGTCCTATAATTTACAGTAAAATGAAAGCATCCTTTACCTTCACCATCAGCTTACTGAGGTCCTCAAAAGCCTGAAAACAAGARGCTAAAGGGTTAATGTTATACAGTTAGGAAAACTACAGACGTTTTGCTTTAGCTATTACATTTTTATCATTTTTGTCTAGTTGATGTTGGAATATTTCCTTCGTAGTTCAAAAACCTTGTATTTTAAACTTATGCACTTTAAATTTCAAAATATTTATGTTTTATGCTTGCTACTGGTTTAAATTTATGCACAATCCAACACCAAAATTATTTTTTATTCATACATTATTTTTGGCCGAATAAAAATACAAGAGAAATCAAAATGTTTTGTAGAAATTTCTAAACTAAACYACAGTCATCTTGATAAGTGAAGCATTATTACACGACATTAGCTTTCTCCAATAATACACTTTAAAGTCTGACCAACACCACCACAGTTGCACTCCTCCGTATACCTCAGAAATGTTTTTGTCTGTTTCTTTCCTCTTCTCCTCTATCTTCCTTTCAATGCCGACAATCCCCACGGCTCGTGTCCTTCCTGCCTACACAGTTKTTAAAAAGAACACAGGGTTACAGTCAAAATTTATAAAGTTGTAACGACTTTCAAAAGACAACGAACACAAACAGCGTAAACAAAACGCTTTGTAGTTTTAAGCCTTAACCGAATCTAGAAAAGAGAAAACAAGTAATTTTGTTTGGAGATAAATAACTTAATGCAGATATGTTTTTACCAGACAGTGCAAAAAATTATTTAGCTGCTGAGGAAAATTAATTTGATGCTTGGTGAGTTTATAATACAGTACAAACACTGCCATCTAGTGGAGCAGAGTTTAAACTGCAAGTAAACTTCAAGGTGAGCACAAAACTCACAAAAAGTGCTGTTTAGGCATTCAAGGGGTACAGTTTGATGGTAAAACAATCCCCTTTTATTTTATGTAATCTGTAAAAAAAAAAAAAAAAGCAAAGCAAAAAAAAGTGATCACAATGAAAACAGGAAGAGTTTCACAGGACCATACCTGAGACCCAGCTCCGGTAGAGATGGGTTGTGAAGCTGGTGTGTTTTCCCATCTTCTCTGAGTCATTTCCTCTGTTAGTCTCCTGTAAAACTGTATTAATAAAAAAGCCACTAATTTGTCCAGGTGATAACAAATGAAACAACAAAGAAGAAAAGCTAAACGTAAAGAGGAAAAAAAAAAACTTTTCAGCTTTGTGTTTATGAATGAATACCTCAATCTGCCCATGTTCCTTAAAAGACAGCTTGATGTAGGAGTATTTGCTGTTCTGTAAGGGACCAGGCTCCTTATTGCCAGGAGGAGGATGCAGATGGATAACTATTTTTGCACTTCGGATTAAAAAAAACAACAAAAATCAATAGTTTAATTTTATCCTTGGGAAAATCTTTCTTCATAAACAATAGCACAGACTTTAGAAGTACTGATTCAACTTTAAAAAACTAATTAACTTTGGTCCTTCAGTTTGCTTTTTTCAAACATTTAACCTCACCATYTGAAGGTAATCTCCTCCCTCCAACTACCAGATACAACAAGATCCAAAGTCCCAAATTTCAGGAGTTTACAAGTGAAGCCAGCTGAATAAATAGAAACCTAATTCTTACACAGCTTCTCAAAACATTCATTACTGAATTATGTTTCAAATGTTTCAAAAATTCACGTRCTGCTTGCATGCAAAACCTCATCCATGTTTACACCACATGAGCGACATACCTCTTTCCTATTCCTGCAGCCTGCTCCTCAAAGAAAATGATTAGAGACAGCGGCATGGACAGGCAGTACTCCTTTAAAACAGTTTCAAAAAGTCAAAATAAATTGCAGTGTTCTTACAATTATGAAACAATTTCGTTATGATTAAATGGTTTCTTCAGATTGGATATTACTAAGAAAAAAACTGACCCCTCACAATGCACAATAATAAAAAGTAAGTCAGTCATCCTGTGAATGATGAATGTGTTGTCATGCATAATCATTTAGATTTATAGTCTGTGGCAGCCTGATGCTATGATGCTTAAAACATGTCAAATTAAGTAACAATWTAATAAAGAAGACACAAATGTACAAGTCAGTAGTAAACTATTCTCTACATCATTTTGCATTTCTAAACTACGACACTGAAATGCCGTCTGAGGTAAGAATTAACAAATTCAAATAGGATTTTTTTTCTCCCCAAATGAACTGTATATTGTTGTATTGATGTTTACTGTTTGCTTACATGATTCTTAATATCCCTCCACATCAGCCGATGGGTGCTCAACAACGCAAGTCCAACATCCAGTTTTGGCTGTTATAAACACAGAAAATGTTAACAAAAATACAGTTCGCCGAGTACCAATAGCTTAACAATAACAAATATACAATGTCCTAAAAGGTTCAGTGATTTTTATTCGCAAAAGGTGCTTGCTTGTGATTTCTCGGAGTGTCACTGCTAAGTGCTAACCATGTTGTCATCACCTTAAAATCCGTATAATTAAACAAAACTATACCTTATCATCMCCATCATACAGTCTGACACCTCGCTGCTGGATCACTAATGTTTCATTTATTTCTAAAAGTCCATTTGACCACGAAAACCGATCCATTTTTACTTGTGCAAAACCCTTGGTCTCAAACGCTTGTATATTTACTTCCTGTAAGCTGTTCAGGATTTGCCTGTAAAGAAATAACTCAACACAACATGTAAAATATAAAATAGGCAACAGTCAGTTTATTTCGAGTTTTAATTGTTTTGCTTGACTTTTTTCTATACATGTTATTTAATTAATTGTAATTTTATTATTTTCTTTTTTTTTCCCGACAGAAGTGTGTTTGTCCTACTACACGGGTCCTTTCGTTGTTGATGTTCCAAGGTAGCTRCACTTGTTTTCTCTTTCACGTTGTATTTAAATTTTAATGAATTTTTAAACGCCCTAGTCTCTTTTATTGTTTTGCCCGTAACATACTTAAATCAAGCATGAATTTCCTACGATGAAAAATATTTCAAGCATTTTTTGAAGTGTTTTTGTCGCGTTGTGATTAGAATTGAAGTGACCGTAGCACGCTAGCTTGTTGTTAGCTGCAGCTGAAACTGGTGCGGACAGGTTTTTACACTGCAGGCTTTTCTCTTTAGACATTAATAATAGTTTTCTGTCGGAAAAGTAAATGTGTCAAAGCCTTTAAGGACCATGCTGTATTTAAATAATTTATTGCATCAATATACTAATC